ATCATCACCCTGCTTGCTATTTGCTATTACGCACTTTGAACATGTCCATGTGATGGAATCCTATTAAGATGAGCATTACTTCAATGGCGGTAAACTTGCTCTGAGTCCCAATTATTCGCCAACTGATTTTTGAGAGTAATACAGAAACACTTAATATTAAACACAATAAAAATTTAAAAAATAATGAATAAATGCAATGTTTGTGCCATGTCCAGTTTCTACATTTGAGTATTAGGTTCCTGTGTGGCACATCAATTTTTATTTGGCATTTCTTGCAACTATACTGTAGGGAGATAGTTGTCAAATAGATATACATGTAGATGTAGATAGATGGAGAGAGATGCACCATGCCAAGGTATATTTTGTTTACATATTAAACACATGGTAATATTTTTCTTGAAGAATTTGGTCTTCTATTTTTTCTTGCTCACTGGTAGAGAAATGATTCTTTCCTACAAGAAACATCACAATGCCAACATGATAATAAATGATAAATGGCAAATGATATGTAGCTTTGGTATGGGCATAATAGAGAATGGTGGAGACTGTGACAAACAGAATATAAGTTCTCTGCACAGAAGTGAGAGCTAATTCAGCTAGCCATCTTCTGGCCCTCCACATCCCCCTCTCCAACCTCTCCATTCTGCTCTAGGCCCCCCAAGACTAACCTTTATGGACTGCCTCAAGAGGCTCCCTTGACTTATAAATTCCAGTTTCATTTGGCCAATGAGGAGCACTAGCAAGTCATCAGAGGGACAGGAGCGCGAGTTTTAGATATTTATTCCTCCAGCTTCCTCCTTGAGGTACCATCATGAGCCGGCTGTGTCCTTCACCCAAGGTCACAGCTCTGTCAGGCTTCTCCACTTGCTGACTCTGGGTTCCAGATCTACTCCTTCCTGTTCCTTCTGGATTTGCAACCACTCCCTGACGTTACCAGTTCCAGGGGGCTGCTCTTGATTGTGGTTTCCCTACACACCCTACATACATTTGCAAACAGTTCTCAAACTGTGATGATTGTGGGTCCGGTATTTATAGACTCTTCAATTTTTCAAAAGAAGCTGATTATCAAGGTATATATGCAATTCCTACTTTTTTTTTAAACAGTTGATTTAATTTTTCTTAAATACACTATTCAGACCAAGCAGATTATTCCTCTAGGCCTGATTTGACCCATGTGGTAAGTCTACAACATCTGCCATTTATAATGAGAAATAAATCAGATCAAGCACAGCTACTGTCTAGCTATCCAACTCACCAATAATGAGGAGTCTTTTTGTGTGGGTGAGTGATGGATAAAATTTATTTAGTGTTTATGACAGCCAGATTCCATTTCAGTTGGTAGCAGCAAATGAGACTGAAAGATCTAATAGGAATCCTATCTAATAAAGAGGAAGTATGCTAATTGACCCTCACACCATCACAAAGATGGTGGCACCCACAGCCAATAGGGAGGGAATATGCTAATTGACTGCCCCGCCCTCAAAGATGGCAGCACCCACAGCCACAAGATGGGGGCGCCCAGTCCCCTCAGCCATGCCGGGCAAGACTGGGCCCGCCCCAGGCAGGCCCAGCTGCTCCGTGCGCCTGCCTCCAGAGTCCCCCAGTCCCCTCAGCCCCTTAGCCACCCAGGGCCGCCTGAGGCTCAGGTAACCAGGGCCGGCCGAGGCTTGCGCTGCCGGCAGTGGCAGCAGCAGAGGTGTGATGGGGCGTCACCTTCCCCTGATTGCCAGGTTGCCTCCCGCTCCTGAGGGCTCCCAGACTGTGAGAGGGGGCAGGCCAGGCTGAGGGACGCCCCCTCCAGTGCATGAATTTTCATGCACCGGGCCTCTAGTACAATCATAAAAACTAATGCTGCTGCACACAAATTCCTCAGCATCTGGATATGTTGCAAATGGCCTGCAACCTAGCAGAACTTTAAAGTCAAATTGTGGTCTGGCACTTTCCCAATAGCTAATATAGGCTGTTTGTGGCCAGGTTCTTATTAGCAAAGGAGAGCTAATACCTAAGGCCACCAATGAATGTCAGCCCTCTTGTCTCAGTTCTTGGGAAAAGATTGTTGAAATATTGCAATATTTTTCAAAAACTTTAAGTTGATGAAGAGTTTTATGCAAGCGTGTAAACGATCTCTTTCCCTTCAAATTCATGAACTAACACATGTCAGCAGATACCAAAGCTTGACTCTCCATCGCGTTTCTAGCAGCAGCACTGAAGTGTTCAAATTATGATGAGATTTGGGTTTTGTGCTTTAGCTAAATGATATGCTTGTCAGAGCTTCACCCTAAATGGTAGAAGCTATGTTAAGAAAAGCACTGAAATGCTGTTGCCACCCACATGCCTCAGGGGACCAGGGTTGTCGTTTGGTTTCTCTTCTTTAATACATACACACCTAGAAGAGGTCCACCACGCGGTGATGGTTACTAACCTCCGAGAACTAAATGAATGTACAGGACTAGAAACCAAAACCACAAAGTATTCAAGGACACGTGAAGGTTTTTACGCATTCTTCCAGAAGAGAAGCAACACAAACATCTCCTCTTCCTTGGACAGCTGTAGAAGCAGATGGACTAGGCAGGTTTCTTAGGGTGGGTTCCCTAGAAGTAGAGCTCAAGACTGGCATTTCTGTGTGAGGGATTTGTTGAGGGGCTCACCCAGGAGAAACCTGTAAGGAGTGAGGAAGCAGGATAGCTCAGGGGAAGGAGTTGGGCAAGGTCCAGCTGCAGCCCAGCCTCAGCCTGATCCCAGAAGGAAACACAGAAGCAGCAATGGCTTCATTGGGTCATGGCACACTGAGGCAAGGGGGCTGGGCTGCACCTCCGAGGCAGTCATTGCTGCCAGAGGCTTCCTCCTCCTCCAACCTCCACCTCCCATGTGAGACATCTCTGAGCATCGTTGCTCCTTTGGTCTGAGGACAATTCTCTGGAATAAGGTTCAGTTGTGAGCTCTAGCAGCCAGTTCCTACAGCACCTGAGGAATGGGTGCATTGGCCAGTCACTTGACAGGGGTAGATCGGAAGTAAATTGTCTGCAGAAATAATGGTTCTCATGGTAAACAGGAAGAGACATAAAATTGTATGAACCAAATCCTAAAGCTGGCCCTCTTCACATCATAAGTAGAGAGAGTGCACTCTAAAATAATGATAAAAAGCATAGTACAGTCCATGCACAGACTAGTAACAGTCATTTATTATCATTATAAAGTACTAGGTACTATGCATAATTGTGTGTGGTATACTTTTATAGCACGGACAGTGCAGTGTGTTTATGTACACCGCCATCACTGCGCCCACATGCGTAATGTCTTGTACTACAATGTTACAAGGGCTACCACATCCATAGGCAATAAGAATTTCTCAGCTCTATTACAATCTTAGGGGACTACCATCATATATGCTGTCTGTCATTGACTGAAATGTCATTAAGCAGCGTGCGAATGCATTTCTTCAATATTTCTCTCTGTCCTAATCTCTCTCTCTCTACTTTTCTTGGGACTCTAATTACAGATATTTTAGATTGATTTTTTCTTTTAACATGGGTCACTAAGGCTCTCCCCCCTCCCCCCAGTCTTTTTCTTCTCATATTTTTTCTATCGGTCTATCTTCAAATTCACTAATCCTTTTTCTTTTTTAGTGTCCCATATGTTATCTTCTGATGGATTCTTACATTTTGATTTTGATATTGTATTTTTCATTTCTAGACTTTTCACTTGATTCTTTTCTTACAGCATACATTCCTCTATTCAGAGCCCCCATCTGTTCACTCATTATGTCCCATTTTCTTTTTAAATCTTCAACTATATATGTAAAATTCTGTTAATTCCAAAATCTGTGTTATCTCTGGGTCTGTTTTATTGACTTTTTTTCTCATGCCATACATCATATTTTCCTGATTTTTCACAGGTAATATAATTGTATTATATGTTGGACATTATAAATGTGTTTGAGAGTTGGAATATTGTTGCTTTCTTTTTAATGAGTTTTGTAGGATTCTCCCCCCATTCGTTGGTTACTTTATTTGCAGATCATACTGACCCTGTTGAGACTTGGTTTTAGTTTTGTTGGATGTGTCTATAGTAACCTTTATTTTAGGGGTAGTGCAGCTCTTCCCCTAAATTATTATCTTTACAGGGTCTCCAGCAACACTCTTCCTAAATAATCGCCTTCGGGAGGTCTTAACTGAATGTTCAGAGTGTTCACCACAGTTTCTGTACTTGTTGGTTGGAACTCTCATGACTCTTAGCAATCTGCAACTTCTGGACTCTCCATTCAGTTCACATTTCCCAGGAGCTGTTCTCTGCCGGGCCTCAGTCTCATCCTGTCGTTATGCAGCTTAAAACTCAGCTAAATAATCAAGAGGATTCAAGAACAGATTTCTGGAGCTGAGCTGCTGCTCTGTCACTACCCTCCTCTCTAATATTTTCAAATGTCCGGTGCCTCCTATGTCTGATCTTCAAGCCCCCCCCCCCCTTCGCTTTCACCCCCCCCTTCACCAAGTGAGACTGGTGTCATCTGTTGGATTTCCAGAGCTTGTGTTGCGTTTTGAAAGATATCCTCAGGAAAAAGCCAGAGAGAATGTGGTGTTCACCTTGCTTGTTTCTTTTCTCTCCAGTTCATAGTGCCGTACCATCTATTGTCCAAAACCTAAACACAGTTGTTCATATATTTTGTATAGATTAATAGTTGTCAATTGTGAGAGATCAAATCCAACACCTATTTTCCAACATGAATGAAAACAGAAATTCTTCATTTAAAAAATAATTTCATACTCAGCTCTTTTTTTTAAAATATATTTTATTGATTTTTTACAGAGAGGAAGGGAGAGAGGTAGAGAGTTAGAAACATCGATAAGAGAGAAACGTCGATCAGCTGCCTCCTGCACATCTCCTACTGGGATGTGCCCGCAACCCAGGTACATGCCCTTGACCGGAATCGAACCTGGGACCCCTCAGTCCGCAGGCCAACGCTCTATCCACTGAGCCAAGCCGGTTTCGGCAATATACTCAGCTCTTTTATATTCTATTTATTATCATCAATACCTGAAGTTCATGAGATATAATTATATTTATTTCTTATTATTATTCATGATGACTTTTTCCTATGAGCTGATGATGTTTGAACAGGAGCTGTTATTTGTTTCATCTTCATTGGTGAGGAGCCTAGGACTTCCCTCCAGAAAGGATGTAGTTGCTACCACTAGGAGCCAGGGGGCGCTACCAACCTGGGTCCCCTTTGGTCCACTTCTCGGACCCTGGGCTTCATGCAGAAGTCTCCCCTTAGGCTTTTCTACCTCCTGGTCCTGGCCGGGTCTTCAGATCTCCCGTGTGCTGTTGGCACTTGTCCTCTAGACAGCTCTGCTTTTCCAGTTTTCCATGTGCTTGCTGTCCCTTAACTTTTAGTGACTTCTTTGTTTTATGTTTTTTGATGGAGGAGTTTGGGATGTTTCTAACCAAAAAAAATAAAAATAAAAAAAGAAAAATGTATTATATACATGGACAGTAGAGCTGTCATTTGGTCAGTAGGTTAAATTGTCATGCATCATACAAGGTAACCTGAGGGAAGATTGGGAATTCTGTCGTTCCGAGGCGCTCATAACACGCTGTCAGGGATCCTTCCCTCTTGAGCACGGGGCCAATTATCATGCCCAGGAAAATGGGTTTAAGGAGTGTGTTTTATAGCCTCCTTCTCAAAACGGACACATGGATTAAAAAGGACCTTGCGATAACGCTGCATGTATGTAAAATAATGAAAGCACAAGCACAACGTTTTCAAATGTGAAAGATCACATGCTTCTCCCCCTGCTATAGCACTTGATCAAAATCATGGCACACAAAAAAAGCCACAATAATTTAATCAGACGTAACAATGTCAGCCAAATTTTAAAAAATTGAATTGTTCTTTGAGACATTGGCTAATGATAATATAAAGCTCTCTGATTAGCAAAATATTTAAAAATAAGCATTCAGAATAGGAAGATAATTTTCTGTATCTTTTTTCAGTGATGTTAAAAGTCATGCATATTGAATCCATTACTTTGCAAAAAGAGAGACTTCTTTTTGGTAACAGACAAACAGGTACATATCAGGGGGCAATATAGTAGCATTTCTCGCTATGCTAAAAATGGCTGGGAAAAAACAAAGAAAACAATTTGTTTACAAAATGTGTTGCAGTCACATTTGTCAACTAAGATGGAAACAGGAAAAGAAAAAAAATAAGCTGAAGATTTGAAGAAAAAGGTATTTGAACAAATAGGTATTATAGAAGCCTTTCTGTACAGTTAGGTGAAAAATAGAAGCTTCTACACTTGTCTCAGCTTACAGTGTTTGCTAAATTCTGTTCAGTAATGAAATACACAAATAACTACTTTTCTTCTGTGCCACCAAAGTAAATATGTACCAAGGAATGTGCAGTTATCAGTAAATAGCTTCTTAAATAAAAGCAATGTTTTATGAAAAATCGATGAAGCAGTTGCTATAAATGAAATTTAAGAATTAGGGGGATTCACAGAAGAACGGACATAGTGCCACATGTGATAGTTTTACACAAGAAATGCCTTTAAAATACAGTTTAATTTTCACACACGCTGAAAAGTGAAGGGGAGTGACTACAGAAATCTTTCATACTGTGTAAATGTTTGATATTTATTTAGTGGCAAACTTTTTTTCATGATGACTGGTGGGATATTTTAAAAAACATTAATCTTTCCCTTCAAAGTAAATGTGATAACAATAACAAAGAAAGATATTACTCATAAAAAGAAATGTGCTACAGAGCATTTAGAAATAGATATTTGAATACATTGCCACAGTTTTGTGATTTTTTTCTGAAACAATTAAAAATATAAATGTGTCAGCTCTATGATATTTACACACTTAAAAATCTTGGAAACATTTTCCTAAGCTGCTTAAAATTCTTTAGATTAAGAGTTTTCAAAGAATTTGCTAAAATATTTTGAATGTTATGCCTTCCCGTTGGCTATGAAAACAGATTGACATTAAGAAAGATAGACATTTATTAGCCAGATTACATAAAAAACCTTCGGATAACTGATGGATGGAATTGAAAAATGAGTGTTAATGACTTAGGAACTATAGTCAATAGAGTAGTTCTCCCATTTTTTATTTGTATTTTGTGGGGTTTCAGCTACTAAATCCCAACATCCAAATAAACTTTTCTTAGAATTCAACTTTTGAGTTTGCTGTATTGCAAATTATTTAACAAGTAATTTTAAAAATAATGAAATATATTTAGTCCCATTGCTTTTATTTGTGCCATTAGCAACATAGCATTAAAAATTACTTTTAACCATTTTTATTTCATATTCATGTTTTACTTAATGAAAAGGTAAACACAGATGCACTGGAGGATGTGGACAAATTTTTTTAATGAGATGCACAAACAAACAATTTTGATAGGTCCGTTACTTAACAAATCATTATAATCCAACATATATAATTGTGATTTAGCATCACCAACAAAATTTCTCTAAAATATTTTTCTTAAAAAAATTACACAAGTAAAAATTTATTTTAGGACAAATAAAAGTGGGGAAAAGAAAGATTTTTTAAAATCACTCAAAATTCTACCAATCAAAGAAAATCACTTGAAATTTTAGTGCATACCCTTCCAGATTTTATTCTGTAAGTATATGTATCTTCTTCTTGCCCAAACATAGGCTTTTCTTCATTTACTACTGTGTTCCTATAGGGCCTTTATACCTTACAGAATTTTAAAACTAAAATGTAAAGGAGATTTTGTGACAGATGAAAATTTAAGGAGCAACATGGAGAGATTCCTTTCTGCTGTGACTCAGGCTGGACCTTTATAAACAACCCTGTGTAGCAGGAAAACATTTGTTGAATGCAGCCCATTGCCGGTCGTTTTAATGGCCTTTATCTAGATGTTAAATGTGTGGTTTAACTCTGAAGAGAAAGTACCCCAAAAGAGACTGATCCAATGTGGTTTTTGACTTGCTTTATCTTCACATGGCCTATGTAATAGGGCAGATAGATAAAGGGAACTAAGATTTTGGCAAGACTTTGTTTCTGTTCAATGTTACCACTGTATCTGAAGCCAATCAAATTAGGTTTATAAACTAGAATTATTGGCTGTGTGCAGTAGGACAGAAAATAGAACCCAGAGAGTGACTATCAATGGAGTCATTATATCTTCTGAATCAAGCAGTTATCTCTTAGAGGTGTGGTCCTGGACCTAATCTCATATAACATTTTTTTTTTATCAATGACTAATACTATGAGAAAAAGCATTCATTCACACAGCAAATGAAACCTAACTGGGAAATGAAAACTAAGAAGAGGAAGTCCCATTCTCAATGACCAGATTAGAATGAAAATGACCCAGAAAATTGGAGAAGTAGTAAGAAGTAAACAAAATGAGTAAGACAGGAGTGGGCTAAAATGAAAAAGGAAGAAAAACAAGTTTCAAAAAGAGGAATGGCTAGAAATTGGCAAGCATGGAGTATAACTTAGAGATTTTAAGAAATAACAAGCAGACTAGGGTCAATAATGTAGTGCTATTGTTTAAAAAGCAAACACAACATTGTGAAGTGTATTCCTTACTAACATTTACCTAAATTCCTGCTTCTTAGTTGAGTGTCATTTGCAAACACTAAGTCCTTGTTTTGTTTTGTTTGTTTTATTAGAAATGCCATTCATCTTAAGAACAAATGTGGAGAACACAGCCATTCAAGTGACTGAAACAGTAACAGAGGAAAACCTAGTTTCATTCTAAGATTGGAGAGGCATAATTTTTTTTTTCTTCTTCAAGAAATGGAGTAATTGAATTATGATCTTTAAACAGGAGCATACAAGTTATAAAGATGAAAGGCTGTTGAATTAAGGCTCTTCTGCACCCTAAGTAATGTACAATTGGATCAATTGTACTCAACATTTAGGAAAGACTGAAAGAGAAAATAAAGTTAAATTGTATTAGGAAGGAGTTCACTTAGAATAATGGGCATAAGAAAGACAGTTTGAAAATGGGAACAATTTAAAGAATCTGGTAGAATTCCATTGATTTCAACTCTTCTAAAATGGTGAAATGTGGTGATACAAGGAGGGATGAAACACAACATTTTTAGCCAGACCTCAAGTTTTGTGATTTTTGCCTTAAACAGTGGTTCTCAACCTTCCTAATGCCGCGACCCTTTAATACAGTTCCTTATGTTGTGGTGACCCCCAATTTCATTGTTACAAATTGAACATAATTAAAGCATACTGATTAATCACAAAAACAATATGTAATTATATACGGTTTTCCGATGGTCTTAGGCGACCCCTGTGAAAGGGTCCTTCGACCCCCCAAAGGGGTCGCGACCCACAGGTTGAGAACCGCTGTCTTAGAAGAAATCATTTGCACCAAGACTTAAATGGAGAGAGAGAGAGAAAGAGAGAGAGAGAGAGAACAAGTTTGTTGTGATTAACATTATTCCTGGTGAGGTCAGGAGATATTTTTAAAAAGTACTCTGATTGTGTTGCATCCTTGAATCTAAGTGCAATACCAGCGTCAGATATCTGATGCACATGTAATAAGAAAGACCTGGCGCCCACAGAGGGGAGTATCCTCAGGAAACAGTGCTCCTAGTTTATTTTCCTGATACTACTCCATACTGCTTTCCTTTTTCTTTTTAAAACTTTCCATTTACAATTGACATATATTAATTATAGGACATTTTAAAATCACAGACCACCAAACAAGAACAAAAACTATATCTATGTAGTTCCACCACTACTAAGGGGGGAAAATCATGTAACACTTTGATGTGTATCTTCTCAGGCTTTTTTCTACCTGCACAGACATGTACAATATTTCATAAAGTACACTTTTAATTTGGTATTTTAAACGTTTATAAAAATGGGAATTTTGTAACCTCTCGCTTTGTTTAATATCACAACCTCTACCTTTGCTCATTTAAGTGTTTCCAATTGTTCACTATTACCAACGACTGCAATTAGTGTCTCCAATATTGGTATGTGTTTTTAAGCAAGAAGGGGATTGGAACAAAGTAATCCGGGCTTTTACTCAACCAACTGATTATATATTGGACATTTATTGGTGCCGGACTTTGCATGAACTGGACGCTGGCAAAGAGAGGTGGCTAAGGCAAGCTTTCCACTATCAGTTACCTTTCCGTCTCAGGAGTCAAGACAAGGGTTGAAGCGTAGGAGGCAACAAAACGCTCAGCTTGTCTTTAGTTTAAGAAAAAGTTGCTGGCTCAGGGGCCAGGTGTATGTACAGTAATCAGCTAAAGCAGTTTCTAGAATTAAAGTCTCCCGCGTTACCAATTGATAAGCTTACACATTAAAAATATTAACCCACCCCGTTTATATTAGCCCCGTCCCAGCAGCTACAGAAAACCCGGACTCAGCCCTCAGAGGCTCTCCGTCCCGCGGAGAGGAAACCCCGACCCCGGCCTCCCGGCCTCCGCGGGCGGGACCCGGGGACCCACCCACCGCCGGGACGACCACCCCGCACCGCAGCCGGGCGGACCCTCCCCGCCCACTTCCACGCGTGGGGGCTCCCGCCGACCGCGGCTTTGCAGATCAGACGCATGGCTGCTCCGCGCGGCAGCCAGAGCGAGGGAGGAAAACAAACTTTGTTACACGTTCGCTGGGTTGGAGCAGAGCGCCTTTGGGAAGGGAAATGAAGAACACTGCGCGCAGCCTTTTGTTTTTAATAAAAATCATTTTAATTGATGAAGAAGGGGTGATGGCGGCGGGTGGGTCGTCCATGCCATCCTAGCGCTTGCAAGCAAGCGGGAGGGTCACGCAGGACCGTGTCAGCAGGTGGCCTCGGCTGGGACCACGCTCCCACGGCGGCCGGAGGGGAAGCATCCGCCTACGCCGTACGCGCGCATCAATGGTGTCCCCTCGCGGAAATGCCTCCCGCCGAACTGCACCCGCAGGGCTGGGCGCGTCGCCGCAACGTCTGGCCGCGGGAGGGGAGGATGCACGAGCCGCCGGTGGCACCCAGACACCGAATGGGCACGGACGCCCACGGGCGCCCGCCCGCCCGCCCGCCAGCCGCCACGGAGCGTCAAAGCCGAGGCGCGAGGGCGGGCCGAGGCC